CACAAAAAACCTGTACAACCTCAGCCACTAGAACAGGCCCCAAAGTGCCACATCTATATGTTTCTTGAATACGTCCAAGGATGGTGACTCAACCCTGGGCAATCTGTTCCGGTATCTGATCACTCTTTCAGTATAGAAATTCTTCCTAATATCCAATCTAACCTCCCCTGCCACAACTTCAGGCCATTTTCCTCTGGTCCTGTCATTATTTACTTGGGAGAAGAGGTCAACACCCACCTCTTTACAGCCTCCTTTCAGGTTCCTCAGGACTTCGCACCGTAGCTTTTATTTACTCTAGAATTAAGCTCACAGTTAATTGGTTAATTGTTAGTAGAATAGAGTTGCACAGTATAGAGTTGTTTTATGGTGACATTTTGTAATTAACTAATTTAATCTTACTTTGTTTCCATTTTGACAGAGGAATAACAAAATTACTAGTGACAACTAGAAAATGGTCACCAAGCAATTAATCAATATTGGAAACCCTCTGAAAACAGAATGAAAGCCATTGCCTCCTTAACAGGCAGTACTCCATTACAGGTATTTAGTAGATTTGTGAATTAAATAAAATATTATATCACAAATTTTTCCTTTCCAATCTGGTGATAACTTGTGCCAACTGGATTTTAAAATTTGGCTTGTTATGTATTAACCACTCATCTGGGAATCCAATTGAGTAACACAGGAGTTGTTGGAATACCAAGACTCTCATACCTGCCTGAGTCTTAAGTAAATATTGGTTCAAATATTGATTCACATGAGAGATGTGACTGCAGTTTAAGAGGTTGTAGGTGCTGGCTGAACTACTTTAGAGAGGATTGCTCCCTCTGTGTTCCTTTGAGATTCACATCAAAATACTCATTTCACTTTGAATTCATGGGAACAGAGCACTTCCCTTCACTTTTGGTATTGACATTCTCTGTATCAGAATGTATTTCTGATGCTCTAAAATTAAAGGTATTGTGTGTAAGTACTAAGTTATTAAATTACTTCCACTCCGGAAAGATGTAACATCTGGGAACAGGAGAGTGAGACAAAATAAGTTCTTTTTTATGGGGCACTGAAAGCAGAAGAAGAACATGCACCTTCTTTTCCTGACATATAGAGGCTGTAACAGCTACCACCCTAAAAATCCAGGAGAAATATGAGGTGAAGGAAACATCCAATGACAAAAAAGAAAAGCTATCTTCCACACTCTGGGAAATAGGAATCTTTAATCAGCTGGGGAAAAAGGAGTGCCCCATCCTGTTTGGTTTTATACCAATAAAAGATATGGTGAGCCACATCTACACTAGCAATCTGCTCTTCTTTTGTAATCTAGATAGCTCCTTTGCTTAGCCTTGAATCCTAATTGTTCTTCTAAGTAGGATGAACACCAGTCCTTCTGAATACATTTCACAGTTACAGAACTAAACAAGTATGAGTTTCCCCAGTGTCTACTGGGCACTTTGTCTTAGCAAGTCCTAAGCCAGTAACTAGAGAAAAGACAATTCCAACAAGCCTGAATAAGTGGACTATGAATAACACATGCCAGCTGCTCTAAATCTCCAAATTTTATGGATATTCACTTTTAAGAGTGTAATTGATATATCCAATACACAAATTGTTATGAAGAATTTTACATCCAAGAAATGAAGTTCTTTTTTTGAGCAATTCAAGATTAATATCAAAAGAGCTCAACCTTTTAAATGTAGGAAGCCTAACATACCTTTATGTCTTAGATTAGCTTACTGCTTTTCTTTTCTAAAGTCAAGAAAATAAATCTATGCATTATCTTAGCTTTCAGAATAACAATGTTTTTTAATAATATTTGTAAGTGGAGTGCTTGGAATCAAAGCTTAGAGCATGACACCACATGAGACACGACCTAAGTCATAAAAGTTTGAATGTAAATAACTGATACCTAAATAGTCACTGAATACAGAATCATTAGAATCATAGAATATCCTGAGCTGGAAAGCACCCACGAGGATCATCGAATCCAGCTTCTTACTGTACACAGAGCAACCTAAAAGTTAAACCATATATCTTAGAGCATTGTCCAAATACTTCTTGAATACTGACAGGCTTGATGCCATGACGACTTCTCTGAGGACCTTGTTCCAGCTCCTCAGTAAAGAACTCTTTCCTAATATCCAATTAGCCCAACAAAATCATATCCAAATAACACCTTCACTACAATATTTGTTACAAAATGCCATAACACATGCAGAAAATCACTGTCTTAAAACTGCTTTCTGGCATAGGCTCTTCTTGCCATGAGCACCTCATGCATGTGCAACAGAATATTTTTGGCTAGTAGTATCTTCTGTACTTGAGCCCCCTATGCTTCATGGAATGGAGGACAGCAAATTCAGTTCTCTCTCCATTCCTTCTAATTGTCAATAGCCATGAGAGAAAATCCCACCTGTGTCATTCCTTGGCCCACTGTGCAATTTTAAACCCTTTCCTTACATATGTAGTTAGCTAGCTTATTGCTTTGAATTGTGTAAGAAATTCTTTTGTTGGCTAGTTGAAAGATTAATTAGTGTTAAGGACCTTTTTGATATTACAGTCTAGCTGCTGTGGCTGAAACAAACTTCTATTGGTTCCTAACTGATCTCTAGCCATATTATTTTGGCCTACAGAAGCTGCCTTTGCCACAAGAATTCAGTTTGCCAGTCCTCATCAAAACAAGCCTCCTTTTTGGGACAGAATTTGGCCAGATGGAGATCTACTTCAGCTTCTCTGTAGGCTTTGACATAGGCCTGGCAAATCTATCCATCCTGAAAGAGCATAGGACCTCCAGCAACATATGGGACCTCTCTGATGTGACTTCTAGTGAGAAGTCAGGGATCTCAGTTATGCACATAACCAAAGTGTGGCCTGCCTCACAGCCAGTCATCAGATAATTCACACAGCAATTCATTGCTACATCCGGGGAGGAGGGTTAGAGTGGCCACAGTAGTTGTTCCTCTGCAAATTACTGTAGGATCTGCACCCCAGATGCCTGGAAACACTTGTGCTGCCTTTTGGAAAAATGCCAGCAGCAAATTCAGTGGCAGCAAGCATCAGCTTGAGGGACCAGAGCTGCATGGTACCCAACAGAATGACAGCTACACTGGACATATGCTGAAACAACTAATTCAGGGACTACAGTAAGTGCTGCTCTTAACCCAATGTACACCTTTCCTGCTCAGAAAAAAAGATATCCTCAGCCGCTTTGTATTTCTCAGTGCAACACTGCAGCAGAGAAATTATTGTAAGGAAGGTCTGTTCAATTACAGTGTAATTCCCTCTCCGTGCTTCTCTCATGCCAAGTAAGGGTGTGATTTTTAACTAGTGTTGCAGCCATAGCTATAGTTAGAGGATTTTCTCCCAGATTCTTACCAGTAACATATAAGAAATAAGATGTGTGTGTTATGGGCATTTTTGAGACTGAAAAGTATCAAAATAGATCTCTATCTCAGCAATGGGCTCTACTATTTGAAATAATTCTAGTTCATCAAACATGTAAACATAAAATTATTGTGATTATAGGCCTCCACATTAACAGAAAAATATCCAACTTCTGACTCCAAACAATCTGTAAGATTACTGTCACAGTGAGGTCTTCAGAAGACTGTCTTACAGAGCATTCAAAGAAGAATAAGCTCTTTCAAGCACAAGTATCTTCTTCCTGCATCAAAGATTTTAATAGAATACTATAAATCTTTTGTCAGACATTGTATGCTGGTTTGGTTCTGGCATGGTTTTGATAGCAGGAGGTGGGCCCCAGGTGTGGCTCCTGTAAGAAGCTACTAAAAGCTCCCCAAGCTCAGGTAGCCAAGGCTGGGTGGTTAGAAAGACAACAGGTGTCCTTCTGTGGTTAACAGATGAAAGAATTTATATAAGACCTGAGCGGGGATCAAGCAGGGGATAAAGCTGAGCTGGAGAGGTGAAAGCAGTGCTGGGATGATGATCCCGTGGTTGGTGAGGAAGAAGAGGAAGAAGGTGCCCGAGCAGAAGTTTCCCCGCAGCCCATGGCGAGATGGCAGCTGTCCCCATGCACCCCATGGAGGAAAGTAGTGGAACATTCCCTGAAGGTGCCAGGAGCAGTGAATGTGGACCTGCAGCCTGTAGGCTTGCATCTGCAGCTGTAGAGGACCCCGTGCCAGGGGAGGTGACTGTTCCTGAAGCAGCCCATGACTCTGCGGGAAGCCTGCACTCGAGCAGCTCTGGCCCTTGTGGGAAGAACTCATGAAGGAGAGGTTTGTGGAGGACTCTCTCCCATGGGAGGGATCCTGTGGGGAAGCAGGGAAGGACTGTAAGGAACCCTGAGGAGGAAGAAGCAGCAGGAACCACCAGCCTGTGAACTGACTCTAAACCCCATCCCCTGTCCCCCTGTGCCGCTGGGGGGAAGGAGGGAGAGAACTGGGAACAAAGTGATTTGAGCCTGAGAAGAAGGGAGGGGTGGGGGTAATGGATGTAAGCCCTGATCATTGTTGTCTGTGTCCTGTGTGTTTGATTAGTGTGAAAGTAAATTATTTTTTCCCTCAAATTGAGTCTGTTTTGCACATGACTGTAAATGGTGAGTGAAACCCTCCTTGTCATTGTCTCGACCCATGAGCTTCTAGTTGGCCTTTATCCTCCCTAACCCAGTGTTTATGGGGGGGGGAGAGGGGAGAGTTGAGTGAGCAGCCACGTGGCTGGTTCTTTGTTGTGTTAGGCCCAAACCATGACACATTGTTTTGTGAGGCTCTTTGAAACCAGTGTTTTTGTCCAGCAAGAAGCTAGTGAACAACAAATCTTTTTGTTGGGGGATGGTTGAAAAGGCCTACTTAAACCTTTGTAAAAGGTTAGTTCTTTTGCTTGTGCTTGCCAAGGGTATGGCTGCCAAGGCTATTGCTAACAAAAGTTTTAATTCAAGGATGGATAACTTGCTTAGCACACTGGCAGACAAAGTATGTAGGATCTTGGTAAGATGGTCCCCCTACAGATTGTTTTGAAGCGTGCAGCTATCCTCTTCTCTTGTGACTTACCATTCCTTTGCTCCTGAAAGTCCACTGTTGAGGATCTGACAGAAAAAAACACAGCCATGTAGCATGTCAACAAAAGAGTAGAGCCAGGCTGTTTCTTCTCTGTCATTATTCTGTTTTGCATAGTACTTTGTATATTTATCCTTAGATGTTACCAATGTCCCTGTACCTGCGTGGCAGTTGGTGTTCCTTTGCACAGTCTCAGCAGTCCTGTTATACTGAGAAGGCGGAAGGCAAAAGCCAAGGTCCCGGCCTGGGTCAGGCCATTTTGGCACTTGGGCATGACCAGTCTTTCAGGACAGGAGGGAATCTGCCAGTGCTGCCTCTTGCTGCCCTTCAATATCCCTCCTCATGGCTGCATGGCTAACTGCCACAGAAAGACACCACTCTGTTAAAGTTTAAATGAAGTTTATAGCCAAAGAAACAACTCCTGCTCCCTTCCAGGCCTGAATAAGAATGACTTCAAAACAAAGAGAGTGATCTCAAAAATGCAAAAATAGAAGCGCCATTCAGCCATCGCCTGCCTTCCTAGAAAATCCTATTTCCATAATTTGCACCTATTGGCAAGCCCTATAGGGGCTTTGTAAGGCTCTCCTAAGACTACAAAGTCCAGCAAGCTAACCCTGAAATGAATGACTTATCTGCAGTATTTTGCCCCCATACTGAAGTCTACAGTGGTCTGTTATCCTTATTTTTCCCTATTCAAAACCCATCCATTTCTGTGTAAACTTCATAGAGTCACAACCTTAACAGGACTTTCTTGTTCTTAGATTGGTTTTTTTACAGTCTTCCTGTGCTCCACATCTTCCTTTTGCTGTGTGGAACTTTGATCTAGGATTTTTTTACACCAAGGGTGGGATTTCACCACAGACACCTGCATCTCAGCTAAGCCCCCAAACTCTTGTGTACCATCACCAAAGGCAAGGTTCACTTATCCCTGAAAATTCTTCAAACTAGTGCCAATTCATTTCCTTTGGCCATTAAAGGAACACAAACTGGGCAGCTTCAGTGTATACATCTACTTTGCAACTGTCTAGAATGATGATGAACACCATCCAAAATTAATCTGATTTCTGTCTGAACAGGATTTATCTCTTTATTATTTTCCCACTGTTCACACAAATGAAGGGAAAGATAAGCCATGCACTTCCAGAATGCCATGAGAATCCTCTTTTTTTCCAGCAGGAGGAACAAATTTTCTTTTGCTATGCAGCCTTTGCAGCAGACCCTCTGTCCTTAAATGCATGCCATACACAAACATAATTAGATCCACCTAAATTCAGTGTAGTTCTCAACACCTTGGGTGAGACAGTCTCTGTTATTTCCTTAAAGAGCATATGAACTCCAGAAGGATGCAAAGTGCTGGCACAAGAATCAGTCCATGCATTTTCTCAGTTATGGCCCTCAAAAGGGCTTTTTGGTCAGACACGCATCCTTCCTCTTCCTTGGTTTCAAACTTGGCAACTTGTTTGTGATATGGTCCCCTTTAAAAGACGGAAGACTGTCATGCACACACACTGAGGAAGAGTTAACTGCTAGAGGCAGATACAGGCAGCAGTAAAAAAATTATCAGGTCTTAATAGCAAAAGCAAGATAGGAAAAGAAGGAGCTACTGCTGATTTGCACTGGAATGGCAGGAGAGTTGTCAGCCTGCTGGGAAGAGGGCGGGAGGCCTGTTCTTAGATGGTGGCCAAGATTAGGTAGACTAGGTTGTTTGGGGTGGGATGAAGGTCTCTGTGTCCCCTCCTCTGCTCAGGAAAGATCTAGAGAAGTAGCAGAGCATTAGCACAAAGATTCAGCCTATGTCCTGCAAAGGCAGAAGGGATAATATTTTCTAGTTTAGCCTAGCTGTTGTTTTTGGCTGATAACCAGTAAAAAAAAAGCTTTACTGTGATTATTACCATGTTTGAGACAATTGTGTGAAGGTCAACCCTGCCACCAGGCAGAGTAACACAGTAAAGAATCGAATAGCTCCCTTCTATTTTTTTATTTTAGACCGTGCTAAAATGATAACATTTGTCTTATCTGCAAACTAAGAATAGCTCTGCAGCAGCATAGGGAAGTTGAACAAACCTGAAGTCAAGGTGATGTAGCCATTACCCCTGTGCACTGACTAAAGTTATAGACCACATACTGTTCTAGGGGAAAAAAATGCAAAAAGAGCAGGCTTTGAGGTGTTACTGACCTAAAACTACAGGTCTGTGGTCAGTCATGTTCCACCTACAAATATCTCCCTCATGTCCTGATCACAGGTTAACTAAATCACAGATTCAGTTTTTTGCCTTTAAGTCAGAATGTAGCCCCCATCTATAGCAGATAATGCTCTAACAGTGGATTTCATTCATGCATCAACAAAAATAGGAAAGAAAACCCTGACATCAAGGCAGCCATGAGCAGACAGGCACCACATGGTGACTGAACAAATTGTACTGCTACAGAAGAATTTGTTACATATGGCAGAAAAGGGAAGTGGTAAACTGGGAAAATTCTGCTTTTTTCTCTGTGCTCCTAGTCAAGCAGTTTGCAGATGATAGGTAAATTCTATTAAAGGACTTTCAAAGGAAAGACAGAAATGTAGTTTGGAACACATAATTTCCTTGCTAGAACTGCATTAACTCTGAATAATTGCACTGCATCATGTTAAGCTGAATAGGGTTCCTCTAGTTCTAGAAAGTTTCTGTGCTACTAGTTACTAAAATTTCAGACAATATTAGGTGCACAGAGTGCATGGTACTTATATGATTCTCCTCCCCATGCTACATCAATTTAATTAAAATATTACAGGGCAGGGCTTTCTTTGTTCCAATACGTATTTTAAAATTTTTCTTAGCTTTCCTTTTAGTAAGGTGTGCTTTTCCACACCCACTCTTTGGCCTTGAGAGGGCCAGTCCCTTAATAAACCACTCCACACTCTGTTTGTTCTAGCAATTCTTACCCAAGGTCTTTATCTTAGAATCCTGTTTGAGCAGCTTTGGACAAGATTCAGTACTTTGTGGGGAAGGTAAGTGAGGTGGGAAGGATTTCTTAGTCCCTTAAGTATTAATATATTATCTTACCTGTGACTGTTAAGTAGATGATTTACAAGCTTGTTGACACTGAGATGTTGTGAATCTCTGCCCCTTACCAGTGTGTAAATGCAACTTGACACAGGAGTTATGGGAAGGGTAAGGGCTATGGACAGCTACAGTTTCTGGACCAGGCAAAAAGCACTCAGGAAACCTTAGGAGAAAACACTGTGGTGGATAGCCCACTGCAAGTCCTTCCACCTGCTTCTGGTAGGTTTGTTCAAGACAGCAACACACTAAAATCACCTTCATCCTGTCTCACAGTTGCAGTTGCAAATTCACAGCTTGCAGTGCTACTCCACACATTTGTTAGTCAGAGTCTATGACTGATAAGAGCCGCTTGCCAAGGCCGGGCTGCTGCAGCCAGAGCAGTACTCACGGCTGCTGTGTGAGTTTAGTAGCACAGCACAAGAATCCCTGGAATGTTTCAGTCAGCAGATACTTTGGAAATCCAGTTCTAGCAAATGTCTGTGCTTCTCATACGAGGAGTCCCCCTGCCTGTTGCCTTTCTGAGACAGTAACAGTAACCTCCTTCTTCTTGCCTCCAAGCCCCGCACAAATCAAAATCTCTTGAGCTCCAGTCTTAACTCCAGCTCTTCTTTCTGAGGCAAAATCATAATGGGAGATGGAAATTCCACAAATCAATAACATACAGGTGTCTTTCCAAACATGCTGTGGGTCTGTATATGGCCTTGGAAGGGAGGTTGCTTTTAGAGGGTGGTCTTCACAGCAGTGACGCCAAACAACTGCAGCATATCAATTCAACAGCTTCCAACAGCCTGAAAAAAAGTTATTGATCTGCCTATTTGAGACACGTGAAGCTACTATAGTTTTAAAGAAGCCCATCTCTGCTTTTTAATAATCTTCCCTCTGCTGCCCTCATCTTCCTCTGCCTCTCCAATACTGAAATACCTTGGAGACATTATGAGCAAAATGGAGTAAGTCCTTTTCTGTTTTTCCATGTCTTTTAAACTTCCCATCTCTGCAAAGCAATGCTTGGTAAATGAAGGTTGTCCCTACCATACTAACCACTAGCCCTGCACTCACCACTGGTACCACCAAGAATAGTAAAGAATTGCACACCAATGTCTAGAACTATTCTGCAAAGGAGGAAGATACAGTATAGAGCCTTTTAAAATAGCATGTCATAAAGATATATATTTTCCTCAGAAAACACTTCCCTGCTAGATTCCCAAACTGTTCTAAGTGTGGAAATACCTCTGTCCATTGGATTAATTATTATAATTTCTAGAAAGATAAAATGATTGGCAAGAGACATCTTTGCTAATTTAAAATTGGTTATGAAACTTCACTTCTGGGAGGAAAGATTGTAAGTCACTGTAGCTGGCACTAAAACTAACATGAAGGGTGGATGTGTCAGTTTGGGGAGAAATAAACGCAGAGCTAGTTGCCAACTCAGCAGTGTTGGCAGTCAGTAACACCAGTCAGTAACATCTCCTTTCTTGTCTCCAGGTTCACTTGTGTCACTTAAAATGTCATCAACCAAACCAAACACTTGCAAGTTCTGAAAGAGTTTTTACACCTACCATACACCCCATTCATGAGGTTTATGTTAGAAACACTATACCATGGGCAAAGGAACAAGCTATTTCAAAATACATTATAGCTACCACATGCAAATAGAGGTCTCCTAAGTAAGATATCTTGTATACAAACAGGATAAGCAGAATTTTCAGAATGAAAAATTAAACCAAACTTTTATGTTTCTTGTACAGTTTCAGCTTGTTTCAGGCACAGCTAATTGACTTGCTGAATAGAAAATATTAATGCAACATATAAATACGAGAGGAAGGAAGAAATAAATTCACTTAACGTAAGTCTTCTCTATGATAGGAATCTACTAAAAGCTACTCATCTCAGTGTACAAAGGAGAGATTCCTTCAATGTCCACCCCATTCATCTTCAATGTATGGCACTGGCAGAGGGCAGCTCAATCCATACCAGATGTGCAACGCACCAGAAGGCTATTTGGATAGGTTGCCTTCATTTCAGTGTGATGAAAACCATCCTAAGACAAACTGCTACTTCATGGGGCTCAGAAGGAAAAGGGCTCTGGCAAAGTAATTGGATCAAGGACCTTCAAGAGTGGTAGTCAAATGATGTGTGTGCAGAGACAGACTACACAGAGCGTGCCCTGCATAGAAAAGACTACTGCAGTTGGCTCCTCTGGGAGTAAATGTCAGACACAAATCCTGAG